TTTGCACAAGGGATAACCTGAGTTCCAGAGCTTGCTAGCTTAGGGATGCTCAATGAAATAATCTTTTCAGTGTACTACTTTTCTAGCTGCAAGTGTTGTGGAGGAGGCACTTACTGATGTAGATGTACAGGAGTTCAAGAGAAACCTTATGAAGTGCTATAAATGTATCATAAGGGAAAAATCCATATGTAGTGTGTCATTTGGCAGAGAATGTGATAAAGTGGCATTCAATGTGGTTACTTGTGATTCTTGACAGGCTATGCCCCTGAAAGACTTTTAAAGACTTGGTTTCAACTTGGTTTCAACTTCAACTACTTTGTATTGAAAGTAGCTTTAGGAATAGTAAAGGTCCTTTCCGTTTCTGTTTAAAAAAAAAAAAGTTTATTTTCACGATTCTGTTTTGTGCTGTTCCAGATTTTGTAAAAACACACACTCTGAAAGCCCAAACAACAACAATAATAAAAGAAACCCTTTGTGGATTGCCTGGGTAACCCAAACAAAGTTGATGAGTTTCTCACTGTTTGAATACACATTGTCTGCCAGGTGGGAACTGTGAGGCTCTTCCTTCCCTCATCACCCCACAAGTGCAGGAAGAGATAAGTATTTCATCCTGCCGGGGCACTGGCTGAATTTGAAGCACACTACCAGCAGACAGGTATGCTGAATTTGGAGCCTAAATGGCTGCCTTGGGGAGGAAAGGGGACAGAGAGGGTTGTATGGCTGTTAGGGATATGAGGCACTGGAATAGTGCTGTGGGGAGAAGAGGGGTGCTGGAGGTGGCAGCACATGCTTTTGGGAAGGCAACCTCTCATCCCATCCTCGAGGTAGTGAGGCTTTGCCTTTGCTGGGCTTGGGGTTAAACCCTTCTCCCAGTAGAACTGCAGTTTGCAGCTCCTTCCTCTGTACTGGGAGAGAGATGTGGCTGTTGAGGCAGGGACTGCCTACTGTGCAGTGAACACCTTCTCTGCAGGAGAGAGAACGGAGTGGATGGAGGTATCCCATGTGCCATGTGAATCCATGTGCCACTGTTTAGTTCATGCTTAGGCTGACAGAAAGGGGCTGAGTTTGTGTGTTTTATTGATGAATATCCCTTTCCTCAGAAAGCAAACAGCTGACATCTTTACCTTGCTCTCCAAATGTGGGCCTGTAGTGCAAGGAAGGCACATGATGACCTTGGTGTTCCTGTGCCTTCTCAGCTGCATTTTTTGTCTCAGATGCCAGTGACCCTGAAATTTGGACACATTTCCCTCTGCTGCTTTGTGTTAAAAGTGAATAATGAACTGTAATGTGTGGAAGCAGTTTGTATGATGGAACCCATAAAATAAACTTGAGGGGATGGTGGTGGTGGTTGGAAGAGCTTGGCTGAGACATGGTAATTGGGCTCGATGTAATGAGGGAGAAGAGGAGCCAGGAAGGGACTGCAATGGGAATCAGCCCCCAAAATAAATATCACACGAATGGGGCATGAAGGGATAAAGAGTCTCCTTCAAATCAGATTCTGTGACTGAGACTTCCTCTAGAATTTCCTGCAATTTAGACAAATGACCAGCTTCACGTTTTTAAGTGGTGTGTGTGCTCAACACTTGCAGGCGTGTGTTCCCATCCAGCTGCTGAGCAGAAATGCTCGTTCTTCGGTCTTGCTGGGAGCTGCTTTGCGCTTTTTTGTGGCAGCAGCTTTTGCAATAGAAGCCCCTCCACACCCCCCGCCCCAGGATGGCTTTTTCTGTGAAAGAAGCCAGCGTAGCCAGGCAGACATTATCCCCTTGCCGGAAGGAGGGACCCGGGCTCCCTGGGGAGGAGGGACGGGGAGCGAGTGATTCATTGCAGCTGGCTGCAGTTTGGCCTCCTCTCTTTTTGCCCTGGGTGCCAGGGAGTGACAGCTTGTGGGCAGCGGGCCAAGCCGTGAAAAGAGGAGTGTGTGAGGCCTTTAGCTTTCTCATGCTTTATCAAGCTGCAAAGAATAGCTCGATATTCAGCCAGCGTTGGTGCAGGTCAGGAGAATGGAAATGCGAACTTAACTCCTGACATGCTGGCTGATGGCTGACCGCAGGCACCGCGCCGAGCGAGGGCGGCTTTGTACCGCGGCGTGCGGGCACAGAGGAAACGGGCCTTGATGCCATGGTGAAGATAACTTTTTGTTAAGTGGGCTGCCTCTGAGACCTGCTGGGAATGTGGAAAGATGGAAAGAGTGCTCTCCTCTTCTGTTTTGCTGCTGTCTGTGTGCCGGTGAGGGATGGAAACACTGGAAGGTGGGGCTGCAGGAGTGACGGGCGTCCTGGGAAAGCACGAGGGACTGTGAGGCGTGAGTGGCATGTCTGTCCTTCCACTGCTGGCACAACACTGGGAGATGTGACGCAGGTCTCTGGCAGTGCAGGGAGCAGGATAAGGCCATTCCCGGGGCTGTCACCCCCGCACCGAGCTCCTGCCAGGCTCTGCGGAGGAAGGGCTGTCCGCCGGCGCACAGGGAGTTAAGCTCCTCATCGCCTGGGGGTGAGCCTACCTCGGGGTGTTGAGCTCCATTCCCACGGCTTTTCCTTTCTGACCAGAGCTGGGGGAGGGATCGCCTGGAACAAGTAAAATGCCTGGAGGGTGGAAAACAGCACCCTGGCCCCTCTGGCCTTGTGTTGGGCTGGGAGGGATCTGTACTTCACGGCAGGCTGGGCAGGGGCTGCCAGCCAAGGCTGGGGTCTGTCGCTGCACGGCAGGCTCTGGGTAAGGTGCTGGGTTATTTCTCTCCTTTAGGCAAAGCAAGATGGCTTTGCCGGCAATAGAGACTGAAATAAATGAATTCTCAGCTGGAAGGATGTAGAGTAGAAATGATGCCCCAGCAATTCCATGTGCAGATCGTAGCACGGGTTAACACACGAGTTTTGTGGCTGAGCGAAAGAAGTAGCATTGAGTTCCTTACAGGACGTGCAAGTTCCTCAAAGGCATAAGGCAGCAGGGTCCTTCCTTCCTGATGCTTCTCTCTTCTCCTCTTGCACCTCTTTGAGCTGCTGAGTTGAGCTGTTTGAAGCCCTGAGGAGAGGAAAGAGGGGGGAGAAGAAGATGAAGGTCTGAGGGGCTGGAGAAGGGAATTAGCAGGTGCTCAGAGCACAACTTGTGGCTGCCTCCAAACCCAAATCCCACCATTTCTCCATCAGCAGTGCGGGGGGGGGGGCTGGGAGAGCCAGAGGCCTCTGCCACATCCCAGTTTGCTGTGGAGCTGAGTGTCTCTCTGTGTGGGATACTAATCCTGGCCAGCACCAATTTCCCAGCAGAGGGAAAAGGAAGTTTGAGTACCTGTTCAGCCCTTAGAAATATTCTCTGAGGACTAAGGTGTGCAGTCCTTATTTTTAACAGCTTCTAAATTCAAGGCAAGGTGAATTGACATGAGGACCCAGTAGCAGCATAAAGGAGGGATAACCCGTGTGCTTGGAGGGCAGTTACACAGTTTGATTCTGCTGGGCTGTGTTTGTGCTGTACAGACCAGGTTATACCAAAAGCATGGCAAATGTGTAGTTAGAGACTGGATTTTTGTTTGCGCATTGGGTGTCTGGCCTTGCTTCTGCCCCTGATCCCCTTTGCACAAGGGAGAACTACTGTGATGCTCCCACTTGCTGTGCTGACTCCTGTGGCAGGGGGATCTGCAGGAGAGAGGGTTTGGGAAGCAGTATTGCCTGTGTGGCTTTATGTAGCCTGGGTCAGCACCCAGATACAGACCCAAGTGATGAAACAACAGTGTGCAAATATTCTGCAAACACCAAACTCCTGGTGGATCTTGTTGATCGTTAAGTGCCAAAATCCTAATACAGGCGGGTAGGCAGCAGCCCTTGTTTGCTTTTCTGCACCCAGGCATCTAATGGTCGCTGAGCTCTGCTCTTGAGTGTTCTGCAGCTCTGTGCTCTGCCCATTTACTCACCTAGCACCGGGAAATGCGGGGCAGGAGCTGGGGTCCCAGGCTGATCTGAGCCCTGTGCGATGCAGACCTGCAGTGGATGCACAAAGAGAAACTCTCCCTGGCTGCGAGGTAGCTTGGGACCCAGGTGCAGCAAAGGCACCAGCGAGAGCTGGCTCTTCGAAGGGACAGGGGGTGTGTTCCCATTGTGCCTGTTCTGGTTTGCTCCTGTCAAACCTCTTCTCATTATTCTCGCCTTGAGCTGTCTCAGGCCCGAAGGCAAAGTGCTACAGAAGGCTCTGTGGGCTTTCCCTTGAGAGATGTGGGGTCCTTGGAGAGTGGCTGTTCAAGGGAAGCACTGCAGTGGGCTGAATCGAGGCTGTTTCAGGCTGCACAGCTCTGAGCTAATCTCCCAGAGGCAGAGACATTACTCACCAATCAGGAATGTGTCTGTATTTTTCCTAATGAGAACAAAACATTTTATCCCTGTTCATTAGCAGAGAGTTAGCGTGTACAGTTGCTATGCCAACAGACTCCTCTCCTCCGCAGACACACTGGGGGTGTCCTCCATGCCATGGTTAGAAGGGTGAACGGGAAGGCTGGTTCTGGCAAGAAAAAGATCCCATTGTTTTCCCAGGGCTGCCTGGACTTTGTGCAGCTGGCCAGACCTTGCCTTCTCAGGGGGAAGGGAACCACAGCGGGAGTCAAGTGCAACAGAGATTTAATTTATTGGAAAAATAGTCTTTGCATTTCACGCTATGTTGTTTTTTCCAGCTTGAGGCACACTCTTCAATAAGAGAAATGAAGGTGTCTCAACGTTCCCAAGAGTCCAGATGGTAAGCAAAATGCGCCGGGAGTCAGCACTGGGACGCCCATGGACTGCTGCAGCCCGCCGGGCTCCTCCATGTTCCTGATCATCCCGGTTTGTGTGGACAGTGTCATGCTGGGCAGCCTCTTGATGCTGCTGCGGTACGAACCCACCTGAGGAGCTGTGCCATCTGGGGTTAGTTGGACGAGCTCACCAGGCACGTGGTCTTCTGGAAAGAGTGAGTGGCTGTATGTGAGAATGTGCACTGTTCCCTTTGCAAAGGGAATGTTCCCTTTACGCAGGGAAATCCTATGAAGGATGAAGGGCATCTCTTCAACAGAAGCTCTGCTCTGTAGAGTTATGCTGTAAGCAGATGTATTTACTCCAGACATTACTTGTTTGCCTGCCATTTTTGTCTTTGTCTTGATCTTCCCCACCCCCCTCAGCTTTCTTGAGGGATTGATTGGGATTTGTGGGTTGCAGTGCTGCTGAAGTCAGGCCACTGTACACCTTTTGCAAGAGTCTTCTTGGCACCTCTGATGCTGCACTTAAAATGTAAAATACAACTTTAAAACTTTGAATTTTCTGTACAAGTGAATGAATTTAACCTGCAGGCAGAAATAACAAAACAAAAACGTGACTTTCTGCTGGTGATCTATAACTAGAAATGGGCCAGTGAGTGTTGCCAAATGTGAAGGCAGACTCCTGGAGCAGGAGTGAAGTTCATCTCTGTCTGTCAATCATCACGCAGCATGATGAGCTGCTTTGTGCTGGCTGAGCTCTGTGGTGTTGACAGCTATAGACCCTTGAAGAAATGTCTCCCTGAAATTGAGTTCTCCTTTCATGCTGCTTCCTGTTAAACAGGGTAGTTACAACTCCTATGTCAGTTTGCCTAGTGAAGCACTCTGTAAGTGAATATGTGGAATCTGAATATGGGAATCTGAATATCAAATGTAGGGTGGTACACCAGAGATCCCAGACTGAATGAGCTGCTGGAGATCTGCAGATCTGCATGAACTTCTGGCTGGGAAGTGAAACTCTGGCACCTGGATATAAGGAGCTGATTTAGATGAGTCACTGACTTTTGCACTGGAGAGATGAGTATCACTGGGAGTACAGGAGCCCTTCATCAGAAGGATGTCTGCTTGTTGGACTTGCAGCTATAGCAGCAGGAGGGATCAGCAGAAATAAAAACAGTGAACAAAGCCAGGCAACAACCCCCAGCCCAGACCTCTCTGGGTGTACAGCCTATGTGGTTTCAGTTTGGTAGTAGATCTTGACTGAACTCTTAGATGACAAAGAGCAAGTTTTCAGAAAACCTCTTTCAATCTGGAGCATCCAAGAATAAATTCCGAGTACATATAACACTTGTACAAAGATTGGTGAGTCTGGTTTCCTCAGCTTTGCATTGCTCTGGGTGGTTCCAGTAAAACCACTAAATCAAAGCTGTTTGAAATAGGGAATGAGTAAGTACTTGAGATGACTTGAATTCAGGCCAGTCTCTTCTGGATCCATCCTTTCAGGGTACATAAAAAATAAAACTGTAAGGAGGACAGAGGTCTGTATGTTGAATTCTTTGAGATATTGAGCTGATTCTGTCCAGATCCTATTGAAAAAGTGCTCCAGCAGAAGTGCACTAGACAACATGGTTTTTAGTACCTTTAAATGTGAAAGATCATGTCTGGACAAACTAACTTGTGAGAAGTGAGTTATGGTTATTATCTGAGTCGTGCTCTACTTCATTCCTGTGCAGCCGGAGTAGCAGCTCAGTGTTACCTAGGAGAGTGTTACTTGTTCCCTCCTCGGCTCTTCCCTGCCTTTTAAACAGTGCAGGGGCTGACTTTCTGCCCCATTTTCTGTGCACCGCCACTTTTTAAGAGTAAAGATGAACATGAAACTGCTGTGCTTGTGTGCAAGGCAAGAATTGTTCAGGAGGACCCTCACCTTTGCAGGGAGGAAGGCACGTTGCTCCAGACCAGGATGATGTGATTTGGCTGTAGATGTTTCTTTCTCCTTGCTTCCTATGCCTGGCAAGCAGTTCTGTGTAGTGTATAGTGTGCTCTCTGCAGACTACTCAGAATAGTGGAGGGTTGGGTATTACTAGACCTGGGGCCACGTGCTTCCTTCACATGTGATGTGAAGCGTCTCCATTGCTACCTCCAGCTCCCCTTCCTAATGAGTGAAAGACCACTCCAAATGGCACTTGGATCTTGCATCTTGATGTCTTGGGGTTCTCTTTCTGAAATGTCTCCCAATACACGTTCTTTTTCACTAGGTGTACATGCTCCATTTGTTTAATGATTTAACCTTATTACAACTAGATTCTCGTTTTGGTAGTATCTGATCATCTCTCAGTGGATAAATTATACAGACCTACATGTATTGACAGGTAAAGAATAAAAGTTCCAAATAGGTTTCTACATTTTGCCTCTGAAAGCACCTCAGGTGCTTGTAGAACCTTGAGAGAAGGGTTCTCCCCCTTCATCAGGATGAGTTATAGGCTGTTCGTGGGATGAGGTGTTCCTTCTAATCCTTAGAGTATAGTTCAAAGCCCTAAATTGTGAGGCTGGTTTATATTTTTAAAAAGCTGTTGGCACTGAGTACTGTAAATCTAGGTAATATATTTGCCCTCTCTGGTATTCTGTTGGGTTTTAATGGCCTTGCTGCTTCTTTTTTAGTTCCAGTTATACTTCTGTATCTCTGCATCTTTAAAAAAATGCTTGTTTGACTCTTAGTAGTGAAACTGGCAAAGGACAGAGAAAAGCCAGATATTTCAGCCTGACAGGAAAGTTTAGATTGCTTAGTGAGCTAAGCGTGTATAAATAACAAAGTTCTATATCTGATAATCAAGAATGTGGGAAGCAATTAGGATCACTGCATTTGTGAAAGAAATCACTCAGGATTTTGAGGGAGTCATGATAAAAACAATGTCCAAACCCAAATATTCTCATATGGCTCTTCATGAGAACCAGGTGTGGTAAGGATATTGTTGTTTCAAGTTGTGTCAGGAAATCACAGAATACTACGCCCATACTGGAGTAAAAAGTTGATGGATTGAAATATTCATAAATAACATAGGACAGATTAAAGTCCTGGCACACAACCTTGTCAGGAGGGATCCATCCTTCACCAGGGCAGGCTAATTCAAATATTTTCAAAGAACCAACAGGGAGAGGAAGTTTTTGGCAAATGCACTCTATTCTGGAGGAAGAAGCGTGCAGCTGAATGCTGAGGCTTGAAAGTAAATTTGCTTTTGAGCAAACTCAGTTTAAGAAGTTAGGCTGAATATTTTAAGAGAATTACCTCACTAGCAATTCACTACAGAAGTGGGGAATCCCTGCTGTATTTGATAATTCTCACAGTAGCTTCTCTGGCTCTTATGGAGTTGAGTTTTCTATAGCTTTAGGAAAACCATTGCCATCTGAAGAAAGGTATCTTCAGATTTTAAAAATGGAACAGCAGCTGCAGTGACCAGACATGAGGGTTACCTTCCATACAAAGAACAGAATAAACTGGGATTCTTCCACCTGAAAAGCAATTAGTGACAGTTACCTTCAAATCCTGAATGGCATGGAAAGGTTAGAGGGGGAACAACCTTTTTTTTTCCTTTTTCATTACAAGTCTGAATAGGTGTTGCATGGATCCAGCATGAAGTAAGCTTAAAAACAAATAATGACTTAGTCCTTGATGTGTGCAGTTAACCTGGGAAGCCACAGGATGTAGTGAATGCCAAACATCTGTGAGTATTTGAGGACACGGAGCAGTGTCCTCAAATATAGAAGAAGGAACTATTGAGGGTTAGTAAATGCATGGAAACCACCTCTATCCCAAGAAGACCCTGAGCTGCACATGGTGGAAGCCTGGAAGAGTATTCAGGGAGGTAAAGTGCTAACTTTATTCTTATGTAAAGTGCTTACTTCATTCTTATGTTTCAGGCCAGAGCCAGACAAATGCAACCTGGTGCGTCAGCATGGAGCGGGAGGGGGGATACAAATAAGACTGGTAAAAAAAGAGACTGGCACAGTTTGTGTTCTAGGTTGGTTCTGTGATGCTTGTGATGTACAGCATGCATCTCTTGCTTCCTAAAGGCACTGCCTGTGGGCTGTTGGAGTCTGCAGACAGTTGACTTGAGTTTGAAGAGAAGTGGAGAGTATATTTCTGGATACCACACAGGTAGGAAGGGTGGTATGGAGATGAGTATTCTAAGCAGTGAAGCTGACTTTCCCCCTTTCTCTGTGCATATGCTGTTCCTATGGGATAGTACATATTTTACTGAGGTACAGAGACTGTCTTACTGCTGATAGCCTGAATCTTACTTGTGTGAATTCTCCCCCTTTAATGAGGTGTTTCTTGCCTTGTAATGCACTGTAACTGAATTTGAGCTAAAATGGGTGATAAGCTGATGCATTACAGTGCAACCTCTGTTCCAAAGAATTTTTGAACTAAAAATGTCATGGCCTACGTGAGGTTCCTACTCTTCAGAAGTACTCAAAACACTGGCCTTATTTTAGGTCCTGTCTAAACATTTAAAAATAACTTGAAAACAGGGCTCACTTCTATATACTTCACCCCTGAAAATCTAGGCTTGAACTTGGTTTTAGATGCTTACCCAAATCTGCAGAGGGCACAGTACAGAACAGCCCTTAGTTGTTCCTTTGAACTTTTAATTTCAGAAGGAAGAGAACAATGTCAGGGTCTCTGTCATTTTGTCCCTAGAGACGTAGTCTCTGCTGTTAGGCAGTATCCTGTTGGGCTTTTTGAGGTTTTTTTTTAACTTGTTGTTGACTAACTTTGCTGCTGTAGTCCTTGGGGAGCAGCTATGGAAAGCTGACCGGTAGTGGAATTAGGATGATGTGTATTTTTGCAGGAATGCTCTTCTGACTGAAAACTGAGTTGATATATTTTGGGAAATTATAGCCCCTTTCCAAGGATACAGAAACTATCTTGTCTGCATCTCATACTCTGTAGTGAAAGTTACTCCATGGAGTGGCTGAGATTGAGTGTTCAAATTACAGCTGAGTAGTACAGACAGGCCTGGGGCTGACAAAAGCCAGGTGGAGTCCATACAGGATTAGGACAAGGGTCACATTGGGGAAGACTGGCATCAGGTGGAGTGGACTAAAGTTCCCATCCTGTTAATCAGCATCTTGACATGTTGCACCTAGTCAGCTGTTTGATGCAGGAAGAAATTTCTATCCCAAACCCTAAGTCTCATCATTGCAGAGTAGCAAGGGGCTCAGTTGTTACACCATTTACAGAGTATCCTTCCTTTTTTGCTCACAATTTCTCAATTATTGTTTTCATCAGCAGCTTTGCTCAAGCAATGATTCTCTCTCAGCTTGTTCCTGTGTGTGCTGGACCTCTC